CATGTTTGGATTGTTCAATGCATACAGGAGGGATGACCTGATACAGTTGTCTCACAGCTTCTTCAAACCCCCCCATCCCTGACTCAAAAACTGTCTTTGAGTAAAAGTCATTTAGGTGAGGCCCAAGCCCTGGCATTCACATGGATGATGTGGTCATACAGTAAATTAGATTTGGAGGTTAAGCTCAAAAGTGTCCGCCTCGTCCTTCTCAATATTAGATAATTTGACATCTGAGGTGACATGCGAAAAGTGTTCCTAGTTGTGCAAGCACTGTTTGAAGCTCCTATTAAACTGCATGTAAACTTCTGTATTTTAGATTTTAACCCCTCATCAGATATATAGTTTGCAGATATGTTTTCCATTCCATAGGTTACCTTTTCATTTTGTTGCTCGTTTTCTTTGCTATGCAGAAACATTTTAGTTTCATGTCATCTCATTTGTGTTTGCTTTTGTTTCCTGTGATTTTGGTTTCACATCCAAAAGATTGTTGCCAAGACCAATATGAGCCAACAGTCTACATCTGGATATCCAAAGGAGCTGAGCTCAGAATCATGACGTATTTGCACTTCCATGTTCTCTGTAGCATTGTTTACAGTAGCCAAGATATAAAAGCAGCCTATACTTTGGCAGATGAACTTATAAAGAAAATGTGATACAGAAAGAAAGAAAAAAATGTATACACACACACACACATACATACACACACAGTGGAATATTTTCAACTTTAAAAAAGAGGGAAATCCTGACATTTGCAACACCATGGATAGAACTGGAAGGCATTATACTAAGTGAAATAAGCCAGACACAGAAAGATAAATACTGTATGATCTCACTTGTAAGGGGAATCTTAAATAGTCCAACTCATAGAAACAGAGAGTAGAATGGTGGTTGCCAGGGACCAGGAGAAGATGGAAATGGCCAAATGACACAAAGTTTCAATTATGTAAGATGAATAAGTTCTAGAGATATAATGTACAGCATGGTGATAGTCTTTTACAGTACTGTATCGTATACTTGGAGAAGGGAATGGCAATCCACTTCAGTATTCTTGACTAGAAAATTCCATGGACAGAGCAGCCTGGAGGGCTACAGTCTATGGGTTTCTAAAGAGTTGGACTGGAGGAGGAAATGACAACCCACTCCAGTACTTGCCTGCAGAATCCCATGAATAGAGGAGCCTGGCGGGCTACAGTCTGTGGGACCGCAAGAGTCAGACATGGCTGAGCAACTCAGTGCAACACAGCACAGCATGCTGTATACTTGAAATTTGTGAAGAGGACAGATCTTCATCTCCTCACCACACACACGCACACACAGTGGTAAATTTGTAGAGGTGATGGGTATGTTAATTAGCTTGATTGTGGTGATGTTTTCACAATGTATATCAAAACATCAAGTTGTGTACCTTAAGAATATACAGATATCTCAGTGAAAGTGTTGAAAAAAATGCAGATAAACTGCCAGAGAGATCATTTTGGCACCCATCAATACTTGCTATGAATCCTTTATCCAACCAGTTGTTATCAGCACAGGACTTAGTGACGTATTGTGAGCCATGATGATGTGAAACTAGAGGGAAAATGCAAAAATAAGTGAGACCCACATAGGCTGTTGAGGAGCTTCCTCGTCAAGGATTGAGGGTAGGGGCAGGGCAGATAGTATTAATAACAATGATCATTATAAAACATGAGAAGAGGTAATAACAGTGGTAAAATTTATTGGGTCCTTACTATGAGCCAAATATTATATCCAAGCACTTAACAGAATTAATGCAACAACAGTCCATGTGGTGAGTAGTATTATTAACCTCATTTATTGATGGGGGAACTGAGATACAGACAGTTTAAATAACTTTCCCAAGATCAAAAATTAAAGAAAGGTAGAATTGGAATTTGACTCCAGGCTGTTTGGTTCCAGAGTCCTGTACTAAACAGGATGTGGCAGTAGAGGGTGGGGGTTGTCCAGTGAAAACTGTGCAAAGAAGTTGACATTTATAAAAGTGAATATCATTTAACCAACTAGGCAAAACAAGAACAGGAACCAGACTCTCAAAGTCACAAGTGAGAGCACAGATACTTGAGGTCTTGTTAAAGAAAAGAATTATTCATGACCCCTTGTTAAAGAATGATAGAGCCGACCTTATTCAAGCCTATTGTAATAGAGAGTTTGCAATACAAGAGAGAGATTGGGCTCTATCCTGAATATAAGGAGAAGTCGGAATTTATAGCCAAGGATTGGAGGGGTGGGTATGGAAAATTAGAAAGAGGAACTATCAGGAAGAACATGAGGAATTCTGACTAAATGGGCGTAACAGGAGTCTTGCTAAAGGCAGGCCAGGGTGGTCAGATATTGAGAATGAATGATTCTGGATAAACCATCTTCACAGAATTCTTGCTAAATTGGGCTCTTAGAGGTTGAGGCCTCATTGAACTCAGAGGTCCAGTCTGAACTCAGACTAAAGTTTGGTCAAGAAGAGAATATTTGTCAATCTTTGAATCATTTGTAGTGGATGGACTATACTATCAGTCTAGAGGGAAGAACCTTGAAAAGAGACAAGCTAGGTGAGTCTGCAGGGAGTGAGGGCTGGAGGATAGAGAGGGAAGGAAACTCACCGTAACTGATCCTTTACTAGTGCCCCAACATTTTGTCAGTCACTTGAAATAGGTTAAATTTTTAAAAGTTTTTCCAGCTTTATTGAGATGTAATTAACACAAAACATTGTGTATGTTTAAAGTGTACAATGTATTGATTTTATATACTTATATATTGCAAAATGATTACCACAATAGCTTCAGTTACCACTTCCATCCTGTCCCAGTGTTATTTTTTTTTTTTTTTTTTTTTTGTGGTAAAAACATCTGAGATCTACTCTCTTAGAAACACTCAAGTATATGATACAGTGTTATTAGCTAAAATCAATCACCATTGTACATTAGATTTCCAAACTTCTTAATCTAATAAGTATGAGTTTGTACCCTTTGAGCAAAATTTCCCTATTTCCCCCATCCCCCAACCTCTGGCTGTTATGCCCGATGTCTGAATCCCCCAGCGGGAAAAGAGAAGACCTCCATGACAATGCAACACGCAAAGGAAGGGAAATTTATTGCTGACTCGAGTCAGGGCCCCTGCTGCAACCAACGCAGTGGTGCAAAGTCAGAGAGCCCTGAGCCGCAGTTTCCACACACATTTATTGGGTGCTCGATTTCAAACATAAGCAGTGGGTAGTTATCGCAAGTGGATTGGTTACATGTTTGCGAAGCAATTTCATTGGTCAAACACACTTTAAAATTTTCGCGTGCAGGGGACTCTCCCGGAGGTTTACTGGGCGCGTGCTGATTGGCTGGTCTCTGGTGGCCTGTTGAGGGCAGATAATTACCCCACCCTCGGGAGAAACTGAAACTTGGGCTTCCTCATATTTCAGGGTGCCTGTCATGGCGCTAGTTATGCCCGTCTCACATTCCCCCCTGTCTTGTTGTCCCTGTAGAGGAATCTTTCTCTTCACCATCCTGAGCCACTGGCTGATATTGTTGCCTCAATACCATAATCTGAATAGTGTTTAGGCGTTGTTTAACAAATGACATTAGCCGGTTTAAAATACAAGGGCCAAATGTCAGTATCAATATTAATATTATGAGTGGGTCCAGGAGGGTGGAGACCAAGGTGGTTAGTCATGGGGAGCATTGGAACCAAGATTCAAACCATCCCTGTTGGGCCTCTCGTTCCCTCTTTCGCTGTGCAAGTCCCTCTCTTACTTTTGCCATAGATTCTCTCACCACTCCTGTGTGGTCCGCATAGAAACAACATTCTTCTCCCAGAGCCACGCAGACCCCACCCTGTTGGAGAAAGATTAAGTCTAACCCTCGCCTATTTTGCAAAACCACTTCAGATAAGGATGTCAAAGACTTTTCTAAGTGACTAATTGATTCTTCTATGCGGACTTTGTCTTCATCTATAGCGGCCCGCAGGGAGGAGAGCCCCTGGCCCTGTAGAGATAATGAAGCTATTCCTGTCCCTGCTCCTGCCAGTCCGAGGCAGAACAGGGCTGCCACAGTGATTGCGCTAATGGGCTCTCGTTTCTGTCTTAGTACTTCCCGGTCCCAATGTGAGTACATTACCTCCTCAGAATGGTATAGGATCTTTGGCATCACAGTGACGAGAACACAGAATTCTTGGCTCTGGTTAAAAACCTTCATATTTAAACATGGTGTTAGCCCCGTGTGTGAACAAAGCCACCATCCCCCGACTTCCGGCACTAGCCAATTTTTGCCAGGTAAGCTGATATTACCAATAGTCTGAGCACAAAGAGAGGTCTTATCCCTTGGTACTGTGCCCAAACAGACCCCCTGTCCCCATACCTCTTCCATCGTGAGGCCGATCTTACGCTCTTCCCACCGGCATTGAGGGGGATTGGGGTCTGAAGACAAGTTGTAGGAGACATTGAGGCCTACGGCCTCATAGAAGAGGGGGCGGAGGTTATAACAGAGCCAGCAGGATTGGGTCGCATTTGGGTCAGTATGGTTTAGAGCCGTAAAAGCGGCATTTACTATGGCCCATAGTGGGTCTCGAGTTACTGAGCTAGCAGTTAGTTAGATGGCCCGGGGTGTTTGCAGATTACCTCCGGTGCCTGGGGTAGAGGAGGTGCTGTTTGACCTCCGCGAGTCTGGCCCGGAGGTGGTCGTCTTAGGGGTCGTCTTGTGCCCCTGTGCCGTTTTGACCAGGTTGGGACCCAGACTATGTACCTGTACCGGCTCAGTCACCTGTTTAATGGTCAAGAGCTCACCTGGGTAAGGGCCGGGCCAAGCCACATGGAACTGGAAGCCCCAAGTTTGCCCTGCGGTCCAGTGGCTTTCTTTTGTTGCTCGGTCCTGGTTGAACTGTACCCGTACAAAAGGCCCTTGGTGTTTGGAACCATTAAAGGTGAATCTAACTAAATCTCTGTTCCCGACATCCCACCTCCGGGGCCCATCACACGAGGTTACACAGCTCCAGCTCGCACAGTAATAGCTTTCTATACCCCCACAAGTTTTCCAATTACCTCTAATGTTGCCTGGGCAATCGAAAAACCCAGGAAGGTCCCCCACTCCATAAGTGTGGGCGTATGCGTCCCCCATATGTCCACCCAGGCTTCCATATAGCAGAGTGTGTAGCCCAACCCAGCATACAAAGAGTCTCCTGAGGTTAAAGTACAGGTCTGGCCACCAGGTGTTGAGAGGGTGGATTCCTGAGGTTTCGTTGATCACCTCGTGGGTCTGTCTGTCGCTGAGCTTCCAGGTGATCTTGAATGGTTGGTGTGGATTGGATATTCCTGGGTTGATGAGAATTGCCACCAGTAGGAGACTCAGGAGGCCTCTCATTGGACGAGTTTCAGTTTCAAAGGATTTGACGGGTGAGGACTTGCCTTCCATTCTGCTCGCGCTCTTTCCTGTTCCTCCGGAGTAGCTTGCCACATGTGATTGCAGTGAACCCAGGGTCCGATCCCGTCAACCTTAACGGCGGTAGGGGTGGTAAGGAGAACACATAAGGGCCTTTCCATCTAGGCTCTAATACTTTAGATCGGTGCCGTTTTACCCAAACCCGGTCACCTGGGCCAATGTTATGTGAGGGGATGGCCCCCTTACTTTGACCCTCGTGTATCTCTCTAATCAGTTTCCAAACATGGTTATGCACCTTACTTGATGCCATCAGAGTTTGCTGAAATTGTCCCAAAGTAGGGGTTGGCAGGCATTTTCCCTCGAAAGTAGGACACACAGGAGGGGGTCTTCCGTACAGAATTTCAAACGGGGTAAGATTCAGCTTATAAGGGGTGTTATGCGCCCGAAAGAGTGCGAAGGGAAGGAGGGTCACCCAGTCCCCGCCAGTCTCTATTGCCAACTTTGTCAAAGTTTCTTTTAGGGTCCGATTCATTCTCTCAACCTGTCCTGAGCTCTGGGGATTATATTCACAATGTAACTTCCATTTTTATCCCCAGAGCTTGGGCCAGCCCTTGTACAATCTGGCTCACAAAGGCAGGTCGATTATCAGAGCCCATAGTCACTGGCAGCCCATACCTAGGCACTATCTCTTCTAAGATCTTTTTAGCAACCACTATTGCTGTCTCTCCCTTAGTGGGGAAAGCTTCTATCCACCCTGAGAAGTTATCTACCAGAACCAACAGATAGCGATACCCGTACTTGCCTGGCCTTACCTCAGTGAAATCTATCTCCCAGTGTTGCCCTGGCTCTTCCCCTCGGTACCTCGTTCCCGTGTGCTGCTTTTTCCCTGTCCTCATCAGCTGGCACGCTTTGCAAGCCTGGATTATCTCTCGTACAGCTGCATTTTGTTGAGGGAACCTCGGGCAGGCTGTCTGGAGAAGTGTTAAGGTCTTTTTCTCTCCCAGGTGTGTAGTTGTGTGCAGGTGTTCACACAGGTGACGACCCAGGATGGCAGGCAATATCAGGTTGTTGTTTTGGTCCCGGTACCATCCATCTTTGTCATCCTTCTGGAGGGTGGTATCCTCGTTGATCCAGGTGAGATCAGGGAGGGAATATTCTGGAACTGGTGGCAAGGCCCCCATACTAGGAGGTGGAAGTCCCACGGCTAATATGGGGGCGGCGTAGTCCCGGCTAGCCGCTTCTCGAGCAGCCGCATCAGCAGCACGATTCCCCCGTGCCTTAGGGTCTTCTCCTTTCTGGTGACCGGGGACATGTACTATTGCTACTGCCCGGGGCAGTTGGACAGCTTCCAGGAGCCTGCGAATCTCGGGCAAATTTTTGACCTCCTTTCCCTCAGCTGTCAGAAATCCCCTTTCTTGGTATATTGGACCTTGAATATCGGCAGTGCTGAAAGCATATCGGCTGTCAGTAAAAATGGTGACTCTCTTCCCTTTGGCTTGCTCCAGAGCCTGTATTAGGGCAATCAATTCTGGTTTTTGTGCAGAAGTGTTTGGGGGAAGATATGGGGGAAGCCCATATCGTCTGTCCTGAATCATCAACTATGGTGGCTCCCACCTTCCTTTGCCCATATTTTACATAGCTGCTCCCATTGGTGAACCATACTAGCTCACTGTTGTTTAGGAGTGCATCAGTTAAGTCTTTTCGTGCCACCAGGGCCTCAGCCAGTATCTCACTGCAATCATGGAGAGAGCAGTCTTTCTCTGGGTTAGGTAGGAGCGTGGCTGGATTCAGGAAGCAAGGGGTCTGAAAACGCACCCGTGGGGCATCAAGCAGCAAGGCCTGATAATGTGTCAAGCGGGCATTGGAGATCCACTTACCGGCGGCTGCTTTAAAACCCCTTCAATGGCGTGGGGGGTGTAAACCAAGAGTTGCTGTCCATACGTCAACTTGTCAGCATCGCCGACGAGGAGGGCAGTGGCTGCAATGATGCGAAGGCAAGGGGGCCACCCAGTGGCCACTGGGTCTAATCGCTTCAAAAGGTATGCCACTGGCCGCTTCCATGGTCCCCATTGTTGCGTCAAGACCCCCTTTCCTATTCCTTGCTTTTCATCTACAAACAGCTGGAATGGCTTATTTGGGTTAAGCAGGGCAAGGGCTGGGGCTTCTAGTAGGGCCCGTCTGAGTGTCTGGAAAGCCTGTTTCATTGACTCAGTCCAAGTCCAGTTTGGGGTCTCTTTACTTCCCTCATACAAGGGCCGGGCCTTCTCAGCAAACCCCATGATCTACAGTCTGCAATATCCAACAGTCCCCAGAAACTCTCTCACCTGGCGGGGGGTCTTGGGCTCTGGTATCTGAAATATTGTTTCCTTCATGGCATGAGTTAGCCACCTTTGCCCCTGCCTGATCTTATACCCCAAATAGGTGACCTCTTGCCGGGCTATTTGTGCCTTCTTTGCGCTAGCGCGATACCCCAAGGTGCCTAGAGTCTGTAAGAGGTCCCCGGTGGCACGGCTGCATGCCTCCTCTGTAGTTCCAGCCAACATAAGGTCATCTACATATTGCAGCAGGATGACCTCTGGGTGGCGAGTCCGATATTCGTAGAGGTCCTCACTCAAAGCCTCATTAAACAAGGTAGGGGAGTTCTTGAACCCCTGTGGGAGGTGGGGTCCAAGTTAATTGTACTACCGGTTGGCTTTCCCCCTCAGTCCATTCAAAGGCAAATATCTCCTGGCTCTGGGCCACCAGGGGTAGGCTGAAAAAGGCATCCTTCAAGTCCAACACATTGTACCAAGTGTACTCAGGCAGTAAGCTGCTCAGGAGGGTATACGGGTTAGGGACAGTAGGGTGTATGTCACTCACCCACTTGTTGACTTCTCGCAGGTCCTGGACAGGTCTGTAATCTGTCCCCCCTGGCTTCTTCACCGGCAGTAAGGGGGTGTGCCAAGGGGATTGGCACCGCTTGAGGATTCCGGCATCCATGAGCCGTCTAATGTGGGGAGTGATCCCCCGCCGAGCTTCCTGGCTCATAGGGTACTGTCTACCCTCATAGGAATTGCCTTGGCCTTTAGCTCGATGACGACTGGATGTCTCTGTTTGGCTAGTCCCATTCCTGCTGTTTCTGCCCAGGCCAATGGGTATTTGTGGACCCACGGTTGTACATCTGGTGCTATGACCTCTGAGGGCTTAGGCGCAAAAAGTCTGTATCCATCTCTTAAAGCTAGGGATAAGACTTGTATCGGCTGTCCAAGTCCATCCGTGACTGACATCTCCCCAGGGTCAAAAATGGATCTGAGCATTAACTTTAGTCAATAAATCTCTTCCAAGTAGAGGGGCTGGGCATTCTGGTATCACCAAAAACGAATGGAACACCTGGTGGGTCCCCAGATTTACTTTCCGTTCTGTGGTCCAGCAATATCTTTGTCCCCGTGGCTCCTTGCACTAAGCTGGTTTTCTTAGACATTGGTCCCAGTTTTTTATTTAAAACAGAGTGTTGGGCGTCAGTATCCACCATAAAGCCAACGGGTTTCCCCTCCACATGTATGGTTACCCAGGACTCGGGGAGGGGTGCTGAGTCTTGACTCCCCTAGTCACTGTCTTCCCCCGCATATAGAACTCAAGTTCCAGGGGAGATTCTCTCTCTCTGGGTTGTTCCTCTCTTCAGGTCCCTCTTAGGGCACTCGTTTTTCCAGTGTCCCCATTCTCTGCAGTAAGCACACTGATCTTTCTTTAGGGCTTGCCTTTTTGGTCTCTCTTTTTCTCCCATCTGGGGGTCATGAGGCTCCCTCAATTCTGTTCTGGCCTTTATCCCCGCAAACAGTATCTGGGCTAGCTCCCTCTGATTCTTCTGGTTTTCCTTCGCCCTATGTTCCCTATCTTCCTTCCTGATCTTCTCAGCTAATTCCCTTTCCTCCCGTGGAATTCGCTCTTCCCTTTCTTCTGGGGTCTCTCTATTATTAAATACCTTTTCAGCTGCTTTCAGTAAATCTTGTATTGTCTGTTCTCCCAATCCCTCTATCTTTTGTAATTTCCTCCTGATATCTGGGGCTGCCTGATTTACAAATGCTAACAGAACTGCAGCGCGTGGCTCCTCAGCCTGGGGGTCCATAGGTGTATATTGCCTAAAGGCTTCCATGAGCCTCTCTAGGAAGGCTGCCGGGCTCTCAGTGGGCTCTTGCCTTACTAAATTTACCTTCGCCAAATTTGTCGGCTTTCTAGCTGCAGCCCGCAGGCCAGCCATTAGAGTCTGGCGGTATACTTGGAGACGCTCCCTACCTTCCACTCGCTCAAAATCCCAGTTAGGCCGCAACAGAGGAAACCCCTCGTCCACGAGATGAGGCTGGGCGGTTGGTCTCCCGTCAACCCCCGGGACCCGTTTCCGTGCCTCTGCCAGAATTCGCTCCCATTCTTCTGTGGCGAAGAGCACCTGCAACCGCTGCTGACAGTCATCCCAGATGGGGTTGTGAGTGAACAAAACGGAATCTAAGAGGTCAATGAGGCCTTGGGGCTTCTCTGAGAAAGGAGGGTTCTGGGTCTTCCAATTGTACAGGTCACTCGTGGAAAAGGGCCAGTACTGGTAGGTTCGCTCTCCGTCCGGGTTAGCTGGTCCCACCAGGACGGGGAGCGCCTGAACGGTGGATGAAGGCAACTCTGGGTCCCCAGGGTCTTGCCCACCCCTATCTCCCCTAATTCTCCTCCGGGTCCCCAGTGCGGTCCCCCCTCATGGTCAGCTCCTGCGGGCCCTCTCAACCCTCTTGCTTCGCCCGGGGGAGTTCCTCCCCTCGGAGGGAATTGCAATGGGGGGGGCATTCGGCGGAGGCCTTATCTCTGTTTCTAAATCTATCAGGTTCGGATAAGATGATTCCTGAAGGACGGGTTTTGGGTCCTCTTTCCTTTTAGTTTCTTCCGGGGGAGTTTCCATCACCAGGACCTGTGAATTGGAAGAACTAGGAAGCCTGTGAACTAAAGGTTTTAACCACTTGGGCGGATTTTCCACCAGATCCTGCCAGATCATGACATAAGGAACCTGATCTGGATGACCCCCAGGATCAGGAGCCATAATCTTTTCTTTTACAGCCTGTATAATGGACGGTTGAAAGGTACCTTCCGGAGGCCATCCAACTTGGAAGTCAGGCCACTCTGCAGAGCAAAAGGTTATTAATTTACTTTTCTTGACTAGCAAAGACAAGTTATGTGCCCTTGCCCTGACATCTGAGAAATGGTCAGTCATGAGAGAAAGTGGGGTAGAGTCCCTCTGACCCATAGTCAAAGAGCAAATGGTAGGAGAGAGAGAAGAAGTCACTGAGAACGGCCACCAAAAATCCTACCGGGAGTGGTGGCGGCCAAGAGGTTGGGCTTATGGTATGCTTTTGGAACTGTTTATGTGCCTGCGTCATTGCACAGAAGTTTTCTTGCTGGGGGCGGGCACCCTAGAGGTTTCTAGCCCGTTCCGTGACCCCCTTATCCTCTCACAGGAGTCTTCAAGTGGCAGGCGCCCTAATGGCCTTTAAGTGCCTGTCCTGTGCCCACACAAGGAATTTTAGGCCACGTCCTCAGTTAGGGATGTTGAAAAAGAGTTTCACCTGATCGGGCTCCCGTTACTGAGGCTCACTTATTGTAGGGCCTTCAGAGTCCGCCAGAGTATAGCCCTGGCCGGGACTCATCAGTTGCCCCCACAACTGTTTGCCTGTTCACTGAAACTCTTGAAGAGAGTAGGAGTTGCAGTCAGATCACAGAAGAAGGGGAGAAGGAGAATAAGTCAGAAGAGAGTAGAGGACGATACACCAGAAGACAACGAGACCAGAGACAATGCCGGCACACACACAAACACGGAGGGGCGTAGGCAAACACACGGACAGACATATGTCGGCTGACAACACAGCGCTGGGTTTTCCGGCCCCCTGAGTCCTCTTGCCTCCCGGTACAAGGTTCACCTTACCAAATGGCGTCCACTGCTCACCAGACTCGGGATCAGGAGAGGAACTTTCCTTCCCGCAGAGCCGGCTGCCTTCCAGCGTGCTCGCTGGCCTCGGTCTTGCGCCGGCTGGAACATCCAGTCTGTTCCCCCTTTATAGAAAGCTTTCTCTTGCGCCAGATACCTTCCTGCTTGTCAGCAGGGCCCCAGATTTACACTGGACTTTCCTGTCCTGCCTGAGCACCGGTGCTATTATCTATCCTTCCCCTCTGTCCTGGAAGTGTTCTCTTCCCCCAGTCAAGGGATCCCGGACGAGCCCCCAAATGTTATGCCCGATGTCCAAATCCCCCAGCGGGAAAAGAGAAGACCTCCATGACAATGCCACACGCAAAGGAAGGGAAATTTATTGCTGACTCGAGTCAGGGCCCCTGCTGCAACCAACGCAGTGGTGCAAAGTCAGAGAGCCCTGAGCCCCTGTTTCCACACACATTTATAGGGTGCTCGATTTCAAACATAAGCAGTGGGTAGTTATCGCAAGCGGATTGGTTACATGTTTGTGAGGCAATTTCATTGGTCAAACACACTTTAAAATTGGTCAAACACACTTTATGCCCGTCTCACACTGGCAACCACCGTTCTACTCCCAGTTTCTCTGAGTTTGCCTAGTTTAGTTTCCACATATAAATGTTATCATACAGCATTTGTCTTTCTCAAGTGGACTTATTTCACTTAGCATAATGCCCTCCAGGTCCATCTATGTTGTCACAAAATGTCATCCTTCTTTCTCGTGGCTGAATAATATTCCATTGTATATATGTATATACACACATATGTACATGCATGCATACATACCACATCTTTATCCATTCATCCATTGACAAACACTTGAGTTTACACATCTTGGTTATTGTGAGTAGCACTGCAACAAACCTGGAGGTGCTGATATCCTTTTGATATTCTGTTTTCATTGTGAAATACACTAAAATTTAATCATGAGGTGGGGATTATTCTCACTGTTGAGCAAATTGAAGTCAAGCCATCCAGTGACACAGAGCTACAAGTGGCAGAGCTGGAGTGATAAACCAAGTCCCATGGGTGCCAGCACCTCTGTAACTAGCTGCAGGGGGGTGCTGTCAAGGGAAGGATAAGAAGGCAAATGGAGCTGGTCTTCGGGTGTCCAAGGACCCAGGGATCCAAGAAAAAGAGGGCACTGGTTTAGGTTAGGAATGATAGGAATGATGGAGCAAAAGTAACACTGCCCCTGGCTCCTCCTCACTTTTTAAGCTCCTTGGCATCCCTGGTGAGTCTCTTACCGTCTGAGCTGCCTGGACCAGATCTGCTGTGGGTGGAAGCAAGATAATGGAGCCAGGTAGCACACTGGCTCTGCTCTGTTGCCCATTAGGCCTTGTGCTGTGGAGCTCCTCTTTTCCTTGACCTCCTGGAAGTGGCTCTGGCCCTGTTTCTGCTTAGCCAAAGAAGAAGTAAGTCCAGCTGAATCCGCACAAAGCTAAGTAGCTAGGTTACCATAGGGCAGAAGTAAATCCGTCTTAATAATCACATTTGGCAGTATTCGAAGCCATTCTGCTGGACAGTGCAAGTTCATTTAATGGTACAAAATGCTGTTTATTTGTTATGGAAAAACACTGAAATCAGGCCTACAAAATCTCTGTTAGAAATCTCTGTTCCATAGAAAAGAGTGTTTATTTCTTTGGTGGAGGAGATACAAATGTGTAAGATGCATGTGTTCTTATATGATATATGTTCAACTGGGGCCCAGATGTCTACTGGCATCCACAACAAGGAAGAGCAGTGTGTGAGCCTGTGGATTGTGTTTCCATTTACCCTTCTGTTTCCAAAGATGATTTTTTACAGGAAGGGCTTATCCTCTGAAAGAAATGTCAACATCTGAAAATATTAGCTAATTTGACTTCCTGAGTAGAAATGCGAAAGGGATTGAGGCGATTTATTATGTTAAATCTCAAATAAACCTTGACAATTAAAAATGGAAAGGAAGCCAAAACTAATTAAAAGGAGAGGAGAATGAGAAATGCCAGGCATCTGGGATAAATTTATGATTGCGGTCGAACACTAAATTTAGCTGCAGGCTTCCTTTTGGTGCAAGCATTCAAAAAATAATTTGGGTTAATAAAGTTTTTTAGGTTCATTTACAGAAAGCTACTGATGATGACCACAATTGTGGCAGAACACTTATTACTAGACAATTAATTTGGGTATTGAAATGTAAATAGAACTAGAATTCATGAACTTGCTTTCCATTCATGTACCTTAACATGTATACTCACTCCAACCATCCCTTGTGTGAGCACACCCAGAGTGAGAGGAGGCCATGCCTTCGAAGATTTATGTTTGGTCTGAATTCTTTCTTCCTAAACTAGTCTGGCATTATTCTGAGGGAGATGGGTATTTGTAGACACATCAAAGAGAACCAGAGCTGGACCGTGGTGACAGCAGTAAAAACAGATTTTACTCAGGAAGAATTGCAGTAGGATAAAAGAAATGTTAGTACAGAACTGGGCTTGATTCTGAATACGACAAGTAAAAGTGGGCATTTATTGCCAAAGAGTATCTGGTGAATGGAAAATTGCTAGGAAAGCAGATTAAATCCCTTTAGGTTTTAACAGGATTCTTGTTGAAGGCAGGCTGGGGTGACCAGATATCACCTGGATGGGGAGCAGTCATGGGTAATTTGATCACAAATCAAGGGATCAATGGTAGGGATCTGGATAAACTGAGCTGACAGGATTCTTACTAAATGTGGGCTATGTAGGCCAGACAAGGAGGTACAGTGAAGGTCAAAGTATAGGAGGATTGAAAGTCTTTGTCACAGGATAGGAGGGGAGACAGCAAAACTGCCTGTTCCCACATTCACCTTCTCCTTAACATTAACTCTTGTCTGGAAAATTCCATGGATGGAGGAGCCTGGTGGACTACAGTCCATGGGGTTGTAAAGAGTCGGACACAACTGAGCAACTTCACTTTCACTTTCACATTAATAGCCCAACCCCTCAGTAAGCACCACGTGGCCCTACCACTCCCACCCCATCCCCTTTGTGAGCTAAAATACCTGGAGAAATAACCACCCTGGATTCCTCCACAGCAGGCCAGCCTTCAGGGCTTGAGGCTGAGAGAAAGGAAGGAGGAGGTAAGAAGAGAAGTGGCTGAAAGAGAATGACCTCCAGAGAGAACTCTCCTCAGCTGACTCAGCGCTGGTTGATCTCATGATAACCTTGGGGACAGGAGAGGAGTTATCCATGTTGGAAGCAGAATTCCTAAATTTGTCTTAAGCATGAAACCCTGAGATGTAGGCATGATTGCCAGGAATGAGTGAGACCAGGAAAGCAGAGTGAAAGGAAACTTATCAGGGACTTTAATGATTACCCAGGTAAAAATAAAAAAAAACAAACTTGGGAAAGGTTCCTGGTGGCCTAGTGGTTAGGATTCCATGCTTTCATTGTCATGGCCAGGGTTCAGTCCCTTGAAGGAAACTGAGGTCCCACAAGCTGTGCAGTGTGGTCAAAGCAAAACAGCAAACTTGAAGTTAAAAGATAAGAAAGGGAATAGGTGCAAGTTGTATTTGAAAGGCTTACTTTTTTACTTTCTTCACATTTAAAATTGAGACATTGCTAGAACACTACTGAGATGGGATTACAAGGGTACCTCTTGAGTACCAAGGTGTTAAACAGATCATTAACATGTAAGGCAGTGGGGCTGGGAAGAGGAGGAAGTGTGGGTTCCAGTGTCTGTCCTGGTGTCAGGTCCCAACTCTGCCACTTCCAGGTCATGTGATCTTGGGCAAGTCATCCTGCCTGGGTCTGCTCTGGTAAGGATTCATTTTGTAGAGGAGAACTTATGTATCTGTCTGCTGTTTGTTCATTTATTTATCCAACCTTCCTCCCAGTAAGATTTTAGATGGCTGACATAGCCATTTAATCAAATCACTTAATAGCAAACAAGCAGGCAAAACCCCCCAGACCAGGACATTACAACTCTCTCATTCACAGGGTTGTAATGAGGATTAAATGAAGTCCTATTTTATGAGAATGTTTACTTTTTTGGATGGGCACATAGTATATTCTCGGTAAATGTTTGTTGAATCTGAAAATGTGCTTCCACAGCCCAGGGAAGCAAGGCATCATGGGTACTTGCCCACAACGGGCCCAGGAGAGCTAGCGAAATGAATACCCTCTGCGGCCTCCTTCCCATGTACAGCGGCTCACACCTTCCAGCCCCTCGAGGCCTGCACCTGTGATGGTGGTGGTCTTGCTGCCATTCCCCTGCAGCCCCGCCATCTCTGGAGTCTGTCAGGTGAATTGCATTTGGTCTGATGGGTAGAGTTTCCCAGCCTGCCCCCTCCCATGCCCTGCCATTATTAGTGACCTGGATCACGTGAAGGAAGCTTCTCTCCTTCCTTAAGAGCTGAAGCCTGAGAAATGGACTACAGCAGGGGTCTGGGAGAAGCAATAAATGGTCCCTCAAACACATTTTTCAGTGGGGTCCTGAAGAAACTACAGTGTCAGCAACTCCAGACTGATTTTGGTATAAGTGAAATGTATTCAAGTAACGAAATACACAAGCAGACCTACAGCATGATTTTATTGAGTCATTTTTTTAATTATTGTTGAGAGGCAGAATCTAGTTACAGAGAAATGATTTGATGCTGATGCCCAGACTCCAGTTGAAAAATGAGATACAAGGTACCATTTGCCCAATGACCTTTTCCTTCCTCAGGACAATTAATAAATCTTGTTTTTGTAGAGCTATGATCTTGTCAGTTTAAATCCGGCTTGCTGACCAAACTGGAGAGAAACCATTGTCTCCAGCAGAACAAGTGCCCCTGTCTGCTGCTGCCTGGAGTTGAGTTTGCTGGCTCGTGTGAGTGGAATTTTAGCTTTAGCAGGCCGTCACTGGAGTGGAAATAATAAACATGGAATTTGAATGAAGGGAAAGCAGAAAGTAGAACTCATCTAAGGAGAATGAAACCCTTTAAATGAAAGTACATCTTTCTCAGTAATAGGAATTCTAATGTTCTTGGAGTTGTTATTATAATAGCTTTCTCTGGAGTATGTACTACATTAGGGAATCCAAGTCAGAGCAAAGGACAAGCCGTCTTGAATCCTGAATCATTTGTTCACTGAGTCTACAGTGAGTCATCTGCCATCCATATGCTTTGGTTTCTCCATCTGCGCCATGGTAATGGCAGTACTTTTAACTCTCTTGCTGCCTGGGGGTATATAGAAAGATTTATTAACCTTTATTTATTTTAATAGCCAAAAGAGTTATATTGGCATCTAGGTTCAACACAAATGCATCGGATATATTTTTCTATGCTCACAGGCCTATTTGACAACCTGGCAAAAAAATGAAAAGTGAGGTTTATATGAACTAGGTCTAAAAACAAAAACCACGACCAATGTGTGGAGGCTTTAGGGAAGCTGGTTTTGACTCAACCTAAGGAAAGTTGTATGAGAGTAAAAATATTTTGTTGATACAGGGGCTCAAGCAGAGGTGCCCTTCATGTCACAGATGTTTCAGGGGTCACTGGATTGTTGCTAAATGTTAAGACAGTATGTCATTTCAGATTCCACCCAGATCTAAGATTCTGGATTGTAAGATGTTACTCACTTTGAAAGGAAAGATGAGTGAAGGAAGACCTTGAAACAATAGTTCTTAACATTTTTCTTATGTGGGCCACCAGTTTGGGCTAAAGATCTCACAGAGCCCCTGCCGTTGTCCATTTGCCACCATATAGAAGAATCTTCTCAGAAGGGAAGGGCAAAATCACAATACTTTGGACTAGACTCTGGTGAAGGTAACAAGATTAATACCATGCACCTTGATAACCAATGAACACTAAAAACTAGAAGTAAAAATATGAGAGACAAGCCAGGAGACACAGGGACTCCTCACAAACCACTAAGATACTCAACACTTAATAGCAGTCATAGTTTAGAGAAATGAAAAAGTTCTTTTAAATGTGAGCTCAAAATTCATTTAATGCCTCAGAATCCTGTAAGATTTATGCCTTGAGAAGGCATAATGGCTGTTTAAGAATAAAGACCTTGGTCTCAAAGGGTCATCTTGATGGTGTTAACAAGAAGCCAATGGAAAGAACCTGGCCTAGAAGTCAAGAGGTGAATTGTCATTGTCTGTTCAAAGTCAGACTGAACAGCTCTGAAAAACTGAAAAACCACTGAAAAACTCCATGAGAGCAGAAATGGAACCTGTGTCTACCCCCCATCAATCACATGACCAGGATTCATAAATCAGCTTTGCCACTTACAAGCTATATGATTTGAGGCAAAAAAACCCCTAAATTTAGCTCCCCCAGCTATGAAATCATGTTGACTCCTAGAATCCCAACATAGACAACTCACACCTCTATTCATTCATCCTACAACATTACTATGTGCCTATTATGTGTCTTCCAGGGATCTAGGCCCTTGGATTAACTTTTTTGGAGAACAAAAGAGTACCTGCATTCATAGAGCTTATGTTCCAATAACTAAATATTTCTGATAGTAATAAGTTCTGAGGAGGAAAAAAAAAGCATGCTGAGGGAGCACTGGCAGGCAGGAGTGAGGGGTGATGGTGTTGTTTACACATGTATTTACAGAGTGGTCAGGGAGTACCTTAGGGATACTGTAGTATTTCAGCAAAAACATAAAGTGAGGCAAGCAAACTTCTGGGTAACAGACATTCCAAACTGAGGATAGAGATAGAAATGTGGGAGTCATTGGCATTTAAAGCCGTGAGACGGGATGAGCTCATGTAGAGACCATGTAGATGGAGAGAGGCATTCTAGTGGGGGCCTTGGGGAATTCCAGCGTTTGGAGGTCAGGGAGATTATAGTGACCCAGGGATTGGCTGAGAAGGGGGGCAAGTGAGGTGGAAGGAGAGCCACAGGAGAGCAGGATCCTGGAAGCCTAGAGAAGGCAGTGTTTGGAGAGAAGAGTCATCTGCAGTATAGAATACTGCAGATATTACAAGTACAGTGACTGAGCCTTGACCTTGGGTTAAGCCTCTCGGAAGTCAGGGTGATCTTGCCAAGAGCCATGTTAGGGGAGTGGTAGGGGAGAAAGTCTCACTAGAGTGGATTCAAGAGGGAGTAGGAAGAGGGGATTGGAGGGGCTGAGTATAGACAATGCTTTAGAGAATTCTGATGCAAATGTTGGCAGAGGCATGGGTGTAGTGGCATCGGGATGGTGTTCAAGAGAGGGTTGGTTTGTTTTTTGAGATAAAAAAATTATGTTCTTTGCTTATAGAAATAATCCAATAAAGAGGGAAAATATGATAACATTGGAGGGGGACTCCTGAAGCTCACTGAGGGTTCTCCCCAATTTCTAGTGTTTCTCCTTCCTCGGGCTGAGAGGCACTACTCACTGTATCCCTCTGGCCTAAAGGAAACACTTCAGCCCTCCCCTCAAATCTCATCAACATAACTGTCACTAGATTGGAAAATCTAAGCAAGGTGCTTCCCTGGGCTTGGGGAAAAAAAGAGAAATTTCGTTCAAAGAACAGTAATAAGCAACAAGATTGGTATTTTGCGAGTGTGCTTCTATGCTGCAATGGAATGTTGATAGGGTCAAGTGAGTCTGAGGAGTGCTGAGTTAAACAAAGTTAAACAGACATGTGTGCTGCAGGGCTTCTTGAAGCCTTTACTCAATTAGTAACACCATGAATTTTCAAGAGGGGTACCTGGTGTGAAGAACTACCCCACAGATTTGTTGCCTTACCACATTAGTCACTCAAGTCTAATGTGGTAAGACATTCGATACTGGAAATAGTGAAAGACATTCGATACTGGAAATAGTGAACTGTATCACTGGTGGCAGACTTTTTCTGTATTTTTTTTTTTACTAGTCACTCAGTCATGTCCAACTCTTTGTGATCCCATGGACTATAGCTCACTAGGCTCTCTGTTCATGGGATTTTCCAGGCAAGAATACTGGAATGGATCTCCATTCTCTTCTCCAGGAGATCATCCCGACCCAGGGAACAAACCCAGGTCTCCTGCATTGCAGGTAGATTCTTTACCATCTGAGTCACTAGGAAAGCCCTTTTCCTATAAAGGGCTAATAAATACTTTAGGCTCAGTGAGACTTAGTCTCTTGTCACAACTACTAGGCTCAGCTATTGTAGCACAAAAGTAACCATAGTTAATAGGTAAATCATAGGTGTGGCTCTGTTATTTACAAAAATAAGCAACAAGTCAGATTAGGCCAACCACTGAACCAGATAATCTGCATCAAGAGGTAAACTCATTCTCCTAACTGCCCACAGGGATGCCCAGTTTCTAGCCACCTCTACATGACAAGGGCTATTATTTCTTTTCCTTATATTTAAAAGCACTCTCAAATACACTTAAATTCTTTGACGTTTGGCACAGGGGCCCGAAACCTGTTATGGCCCATTTGGATTCCCATTTCCTGCCTATGGTCCTGTCCCTTTTCTCCATGATCGACACCAGGAAAATCCACTCTTTATGTCATTTTAACTAGACAACCCTTTGGGTCTGAATTGAAAGCAACTCTTAATGATCCACATTGTGACTTATCCAGTAAGCCTTTGACTTACTTGCAGCTCATTTCCTCACTCCTGGGGAGGAGTCAGGGAAGGGAAATGAAGTGAGCATCTACCATATTGGCTGCTTATTTTCTAATATTGAAAGCTTCAGTGGAAAAACAAATTTTGGAACCATGCCATATAAAGAATAATCAGGAAATATTAGCTTGCTGGGCCTAAAAAGAGAAAGCTGGTATAGTTATGAGTATGTGGCAATGGGGATGAGAGGACATGATATAGTTGTGGGGCTGTTTCATGGAAGGGAAATGTAATCCAAGGGATGGAACCAAGAACATGAGGCCAGACTTAGAGGGAACAAATTTCCACTGATGCTCTGCCATTTTGATTCTGGTAGAGGGGTGGGGAGGTAGTGTCACATATATATTCAAGCAGAAATGGTGGAGAGGATGCTCAATATTCAGATCGTGGATGGACTGGCTTTTTAGTCATTATGGGCTGCTACAACAAAATCTTGAGACTGGGAGGCTTTAACAATAAACATTTATTTCTCGCAGTCTGGAGGCTGAGAAGCCAAGATCAAGGTACTCGCAGATCTAGCTCTGAGTGAGAGTTCTCTCTCTGACCTGCAGGTGCATAGTCTTGCATAGCTTCTCTCTTGGATGCATCACCTGTCGAAGAGAGAGAAAACTCTGGTCTCACTTCCCTTCTTATAAGGACACTAATCCCATCATGCGGGCCTTACCCTCATGACCTCATCTAAACTAAT